CTTTTTCTTGAGTAATTTTTTACATTTAAGTTAGTTAAAATGATGCAATGCAGGGCGGTGAAAACTAGTTTCAGCAAGTAATTTCGTATTGCTTTGGGCATGTACATAGGTATCAATATGCATAGATATCAATATGTGCTTGCTCAAAATATAACAATAGTTGAATTGCCTTGTTAACCATATTACAAAGTGGGAGTTAAATTGGTCAGATTCTGAAATGTCGTGTAGATTAAGTAACTGTGATTCTATGACCTGATCTAGAAACAATGCTATTCTTAGTAGTATTGTAACTACTTATGCAGGAGATGAACTGAACATAGTGATTTTGCTTCTCTGTCTGAAATTGAAACAACTTCTGAGCTGTTGTATGTCACTATTTTAGCTACAAGACCACCAGGGATGTGCCACCAGAATGAATTCCAATGTCAATCAGATGGCAATTGTGTTCCTGCTAACTGGGAGTGTGATGGCCATCTTGACTGTGCAGATGGCTCAGATGAACATCATAGATGTCCTGCCAGGACCTGTCCTCCATCTCTTTTCCGCTGTGATAATGGCAACTGTGTCTATCGAGCATGGATCTGTGATGGTGATAATGACTGCAGAGATATGAGCGATGAGAGAGATTGTCCTACTCAACCCTTCCGATGTCCCAGCTGGCAGTGGCAGTGTCCAGGGCACAGTATCTGTGTGAATCTAAGCAAAGTATGTGATAATTCTGCTGATTGTCCTAGTGGAGCTGATGAATCCCCATTGTGCAGTAAGTTACTGTTCAAGCATCTACTATAGCCTACTGTCTGCTACAGCTTCACAAGGAAATGGAATACTCAGCATGTTGTATTTAGTGCAGAAACATTTCTAGCAGAAATTGTAAGCTTGCTGAAATTAGAACTCAAATTACTAAGTGCACCTTGCTTGCAGTGAAAGGAGACTATGGTCATGACTGATGAATTCATTAGCTATGTCCAGCCTTGCGCTCTGAATTCAAATGTGACTTCCACTGATTCAGTGTAGGTTTTTATATAGCAATATGGGAATGAGCTTTGTGTTCCTGAACACATTCACTAAAACATGGTATGCTTTAAGTTCAGATGAAATGTGATTCAGTCCTTAATATTTTCTTTTAAATTTCTAACTTCAAAAATAATGAAAAAAAATCTAAAAGCTCACATGCAGCCACAATTTGTATTTGTGCTGATTATGAACTGATTTAAGCATAACCTCTTTCTTTCTTTCCTTCTTTCCTCCTCCTTCTCTTTAATCAATGCACATTCTCAGATGAACCACAGCCAGGTATGATTATAAATGATTTTAAATTATTGTTTATTAATACAATTTTAGGTTTGAAGTGGTACAGTAAATTTTTGTGAATTTCTAGCTGGTTTTGAAAAGTTTCTTATAAATGCTTAGACAGCCTTCTGTTTAGCGTTCCTTTAATGGGCTTCAGTAGTACATATTATGTTGTTACCTGCCTTTATGTGCATTGTGTATGTTATATTTTGCATAAGGGTCTCAGCCCAGTCTCACATTGCATAACTGATGATTGTACAGTAACGTTTTAGCAGCAGTCTTAGGCTAGTAATGCAATTGCAAAGTATTACATTTAGCATAAGAAGCTTTTGTTAACTATTTGCTGATTTCCTTCCTTAACCCCATTTCAGATCAGGAGAGCTGCTCTGACAATAATGCTGGCTGTACTCATGAATGTATTCAAGGACCGTTTGGAGCTCAGTGTACCTGTCCTATTGGATACCAGCTTGCAAATGACTCCAAGACCTGTGAAGATATCAATGAATGTGACCCTCCAGGCTTTTGTAGTCAGCATTGTTACAATGAGAGAGGATCTTTTAGGTGTTACTGTGATGAAGGATACATTCTAGAAGCCAATGGGAAGACTTGTAAAGCTGCAGGTGAGGAACGTTGGTGTCAACCTAAATAATGACAACAGTGTCTGGAAAATGTCCAGCTTTGCCATTTTCATATTGTTCTCTTTTAAAAGAGCTTTTTTAAAACAACCACTTAAAGTTGTTCATTGCAGATCACCTTTAGAGTTAAAACTGTCAGCTGATAGGTTAATTGGGAACTAGTATTTCCTTGACACAATATATTTAAATTAACACTATAATTTTTAACCCTGGAATGGTCAGAATAATATTCTGGAGAAAAGCAATGGCAGGCACGTGTAAGCCATATGTTAAAATTTGCTCCTTATAAAGTTCAGTGCTTACAGAGTGTTTAAATCCCAGCCTTTCATAAGACTTGCTTAGTGCCTATGCCATACTTTGCTCATTTCTAAAGAGCAAACAACACTGACACAGCCTAGCTGTCTATCATTCTGTATCTCTTACGTAGTACACTGACAGTATGGAGGAACCATATACCCAGTAGAATTTGTCACTGCAGGTTTCCTGGTTTAGGGATATACTCAAATTGTGGAATACTCTTGCAATTTACCTGGAAATAAGTTTGGCCCTCTACTAATATGAGTTTCTCATAGTTTGCTATCTTTGCGGTTGCTATTCTTCAGTTGTTTCTCAGCAGCCTATCAGTGTAAGCTGCTGCACAGCAAACTAACCACAGCATCCTATGGGTTTCCTGTAATCTGTTTATTCTCCTCCTTGGTCCCCATACATGCAGTCTAAAGTGGGGTGGGAGGGGGGGGGCAGGCAGGAGGAGGGCAGAAAGAGCAGGCTGGCTAAAAAGGAGGAAGAGCCTGGCTGAGTAGAGAAACTGGTGGTATAAAGAACTTTGGGGTTAGAATCAGGACTGGGAGATGAGTGGGTTATAGAGGAATGAGGGTTGGAAATCAGCAGAAAACTGATTGGACAATGGGGAAGAGGACAAGGTCCAGATATGAGACTGGAAGGGGAGTCTAGTAGAAAGAGTAAATTATGGAGAAAAGATGGAGAAAAGCCAAGGTAGATCCAAAAGTCAGGATGGACAGACTGGATATGATAAATTGTCTTGGCCTGAGAATTTATTTGAATTTGTCCTTCCAATATATATATCTAGATACAATAACTTTGATCCTATAAAGCCATGTCGAATTACTCAGTGTTTCATTTTCTTACAGAATTACTGTTGAATAGCTTATCTTTTCTTTAAATTTCTTTTCCTTTGGCAGAGTCTGGGAATCTTCTTTTGCTGGTGGCAAGTCGTAACCAAATTGTTGTGGACAACATCACCTCGCAGTCACATAGTATTTATTCTCTGGTTCGGGATGGGAGGAATATTGTGGCTATTGATTTTGATTCAATCACAGATCGTATCTTTTGGTCTGATACAACACAGGATAAAATTTGGAGTGCTTATCAAAATGGGACTGACCGAAAAATAGTAAGTTTTGCCGAGTTATTCTTGTCTCTTCGTTGTGGAGAGAAAATGAAGACACTGTGTCTCTGGTTAACAAAGAGGAAGAGGGAAATCCCAACATAGTAAGAAGAGAGATGACATAGACAAAATGAAACAACTTTGTAGATATTAAACCAACATTTCATGTAGCATTTTGAAAAAGAAAACTGAATGCTTTCAAGAAGCCCTTTTTTAACATCAGGCTGTAAGTTGATTTTCTTATTAGTAGATGCTAACTTCTTCAATAGACCCACTGAAGTTAGTAGAAGTGTTTGGGTATATGCTTTGTCAGCACTTTGAGTATGTACGTTGTTACTTATTCTGCATAAGAGACCTAGGGAATATTGGAGATTTGGTTCCCTGTTTTCCATATCCAGAAATGGAAAGGGTAAACATTTAATATCAACTAGTTTGTTCTCTCCTCTTCTTTCTTTTTTTTTTTTTTTTTTTTTTTTTTTTTTTTAACAGGTTTTTGACAGTGGTGTCACCGTGACTGAAAGTATAGCGGTAGATTGGGTAGGTCGCAATCTTTACTGGACAGACTTTGTTCTGGAAACAATTGAAGTCTCTAAAATGGATGGGAGCCACAGGACTGTGCTGATTAGTGAAAATATAACAAACCCAAGGGGACTAGTGTTAGATCCCAGAATTGAGTAAGATTTTTTTTTTTATGTTCTATTTTAAAAAGATGCATATTTTATGATGTAACGATATTAAAATTTGAGATATGCCTGAATTGTATTGTAATTGTAAATGACAAGTGGAAGAGAAAACTGAAGACAATTTTTTAAAATAGTGTGTTTGCAAAGTTGATTTAATATTTAAAGTCATGTGGTAATTATTTTTAATCTGTTGCTCTGTTTCACTGTAAAAAGATGTTTTTTTTCCTTTAAAACAGATTGTCCTACATTTGCTTCCTAGTTAAGAACTATTAATTCAAAATTCTGATGTATCATTGTCAGTTGACGGTATACCACAAACTTCCATGTAATATTATGTGGTATGCCTACCTGGCAAGGAACAGGTTCCTTCATAGCCCCAAGTCTGAAATAATTATCTATACTGTCTTAATGTTATCACAAGAGCAGCTTCCCATTTCAGACATCAAGTGGCTTGGACTAAATGGAATATTATTGAACTGTTCAAAGTAGTACAAACTTCTACTGTTTTTTGAGCACTTCAATGCCTTCAACTCTGTTTACTGCCAGCTACATGAGGCTCTTCAGTTATAGCACTGTTAACGTTATCAATGCATGCCTGTAGAAGTTAAAACTCATATCAAATTATTATTAAGCAACTGGAGAATCAGATTGTAATCAACGTTGAAAAACAGTGATAATAATAGCTGGTATATGCTGCTGTTGTTGACAAATGAAAACAGCAATAGAAGCATTAAAATAATTTTTGCAACAGAACTTATGATAATATCTTAAGCAAGCATATTGCTGAAATGAATACTTTGAGTATCATTGTGTAGGACTTCTCTTAAAAAGAGTTGTTTCTATTTTTTGGCTAATGAGTCTTAGTGTAATGTTTCTCAATAGACAGCTAGTTTTTTTTCAGATTGGTAACCACAAGGTACTCTTTTCAGTGCTCACCTAATGTTCTGGACTGACTGGGGCCAAAACCCTCGAATTGAAAAAGCCAGCATGGATGGCAAAATGCGAACAGTGATTATTAACAACAAAATCTACTGGCCCAATGGACTCTCCATTGATTACCCAAATAAACTTCTCTATTTTGCTGATGCTTATCTTGATTATATTGATTTTTGTGATTACAATGGAAACAACAGACGACAGGTGGTTGCAAGTGATCTGGTAAGACATTAATAAGAAACCATTGTTTTCCCACATCCTTGCTGATAGCACTTAAAAACATGTTTGTACTGTCATAATCTTGGTTGTATTTTTCTTCAAAACACTTGGGTGAAGCAGATATGAAGTATTTTAACTGCTTGCTACAGCTGGAAAAAGAATTGCATGTGCTATTCACAGTCTCTCAGGAGATCTTCAACAGAACCTGGAGCTAAGCGTAGACTTAGTGCTTTAGATCATTCTCATTTGTTCTGTACATGCGTGAAGTTCAAAGGTGACATCTGACACTGCTGCTACTAGCTGGTGCATTTGCTGTAGGCAAATACAGTACAAAAAACCTGGAAGAACTTTCCCTGATCACCTTCTGTGAGTGATAATTGCTACTGTTCTTCACAGCAGCGAAGGGTTTTGTGCTGCCAGGACTGGCTGCGTGCAGGACACTTCTTGAAGAGCATTCCTCTTACAGGCTATCTTCCAATGAAGTGCTGCTGGCAGCTTGTAGCACTGTCCCTGTACCAGCACAATAGTTAAGATGTTCAGTTGGTACACATAAGCTGATATAAATAACCACGTGCATATTTTCAAGAATTGAACCTTGGGGCTTTTATTTTTCGCTAGAGAGACAGTTCTTGTGAAATAGGAGCCAGTGCAAGCTTTCTTGCCCCACTCCTAGTTTTCTGAAATTTAGATAAGCCACCTTCTTTGACCCTCTGGTATATTATAGGGAAGCTTATGAGAGATGCAAGGTCTTGACACGTCTGTAACTTTCACTAGACATTTCCTCTTGTGCCCTTGAAAATCTACAATTGGGTCTTTATCTGTTGGTTCCCTATGTTCTGCCTTACAGTTAGACTGCTTTGTTAGTTCCTCATGCTGTACATCTCACAGGGCCTATTTAGCATTTTAATTTTAAAAAAAATAAGTGTATTTCCCCCATAATGTCTTTATTATGCCAGGCAATAGATGATACTTCATACTCTTTTGCTGAAAAATATCTTTTGAGGCACAGCTTTTTTTATCTTTTTTTTTTTTAAATTATGCTCAGCTCTGCTGTTACTTCATTGCAAGCTTTTCATATACAAATCTCCAGAACTAAATTGGTAAACATCTTTGCCTTTTAGATATTGCAGCATCCACATGCTCTAACTGTCTTTGAAGATTTTGTATACTGGAGTGACCGCTACACTAATCGAGTAATTCGGGCCAATAAATGGCATGGAGGAAACCAGACAGTTATGATTTATAACATTCACCAGCCTTTGGGGCTTGTGGCAGTCCATCCTGTAAAGCAACCTAATGGTGAGTTCAGCAAAACAACTTTGGTAACTGCAAAAATAAACCATGCAGTAATGTCATGCATAGACACTCCTGGAATCAGTCTTGTCAGCAAATGGGCTGGGTTAAAACAAGCAAATAATTCATACTATTGACTTGCAAGTGAAGGTCATTTCAGCCTGCCCACCCTGCTGACCCAGCCTGTCCAACCTGGTGTTTAGGGAAAGTAACCTAGGCAGCATGTAAGCATAATAACTGGCCAAAATAATAATAGGGAAGTAGTATGTGCCATTTTCTTGCACTTTGTTTTGAGTATTTTTATAAGAAAATTGACATACTTTTGGAAAGCATTTTAATTTTTAAAATTTGTGTCTGTGACATACCAGACTTAGTTCCCTTGTATGTTAATAATATCATTCTTTTAGACAAGGTTATTGTCATTTGTCATTGACCTTCTCTGAAAGCACTTTTGCATTATTTTACTTAATGAAATAATAAGAAGTAAACCCCTTCATGGCATTCAGGATTCCCTCTGAGATCATATGCAGGTGATCTTTTGCAGCTGACAGACTTTAAAAAAAAAAAAAATTTTTTTTTCCCTCTGTTAGGTAGAGTTATCTTCCAAATCAGACTTTTCATCATTTCATGGTATGACTTGAAGAGTGGGAAATATATTGACATGAATATTGTTCTTCATTTTCTGCTATATTTCTTGTGTATGGAGTGTTTCTGATTAATAAATATTACAATGACTTTTTTTTTTTCTTGAAAACTTTCATACTGGGGAGGGCGGAGGCTTGCATCTGAGTAAGACACTAGTAATTTCAGCGCTATATTTGTTTTGGAACAAAACCTTCCTCAATCATGTTCAGAGCTAAAACCACTTAGCGCTCTCACTGCAAATTGTTCAGTCACCAGAGGGTACCACTAATATATACATTGTAGTTTTAGTTTAAGAGGTATTATTTTGCAACACAAGGTTTAAAAAACTTTCTACCACTGGTGGAGAAAATTGTTTCTTTTTCTTCATTCTATTAAACTAGAACGTTTTATGATTCTTCATTTAGAATTGTTCTGTTGGACTTTATTTGGCCAGACAGAGAAGGAGGGAATAAAGCACTTGCAAAATAGCAAAACATGCTAATGTTTACAAATAAAGAAATAATTATTTGCTGATTGAAATTCCAGATGGAGTATTAAAACTGTCATCCACTCTCCTTTTTTGTAAATCATTAGGTCTTACACTAACTAGAGTTTAGATTTGTTCTACTGATGAGATGAATAATTTTCTTACAGTTTGCGTTCTGAGTTTATGCCATTGTTTTATTGTCATCTTGTTAATTTGTTTTCAGTTCTTGTTAGTTTTTGTATTAGGAACAATTATGTCATTTCCTGGAACTTCCAAGCTTCTTAGAATATGGCCTGCTGCAATTGCTAAGGATATACTCAAAATCTGGTTTTTATTTTCTTACGAAGATGGCTTATCCTGAAAAGTCCTCTTTAGCAGCGAGTTTGTGGGAAGTGATCTAAATGGTTGAATTTTAGTGTATAGTAATAATAGGAGGCTGTAGAGACCTTCTTTACTGTCTTTTTTACATTTTACAAGCTTAGGCTGGCAGTTTCAAAGTGATCCAACAAATTATGCATTGAACTCCCACTACCTTTGAAGGAGATGTAGGCAACTATTTTATTTCTTTAGTTTTCTCCAAGAAGCTTCAGTAAATAATTTAAATCCCCTGTCTAGAAGGGTTATAATGATCAAAGACTGAAAATCCTGCAGGCCTCCTGGTGCACTTAAGACAAGTTTGAAAAGGAGTTTGAAGGAATTTCTATAACGCAAAAAAGTTGAAAAGACCACTGTGGTAATGGTACTGGTTTTATATGGAAAACTATATGCTGTTAAGAGTGTATTGTATTGCTTTTGGTACTTGGAAATAATTTTTTAATTTTAAGGAAATAGCAAATCTGATTTAGTGCTGGGTTGATATTATCAGTAGCAATGAAATTTAATATTCTTTCCAGTCACTCATATTATTACAGTTGCTAATAATTTCTTGTTTCTTTTCAGCTATCAATTCTTGTGCATTGTCCCCGTGTAGCCACCTCTGCTTGCTTTCTTCATCTGGACCGCTTTTTTTTTCCTGTGCTTGTCCTTCAGGATGGATGCTTTCTCCTGATAATAGGAACTGCATGAGAGGTAGGACAGTAATAAAGAGAGATGAAAAAAAAGACCTGATGCTGTCAAATCCATCCCTCTGTCAGGCAAAAACCATACTTCAGATCTGTGGGCTGCTGCTCATGAAATCGAAGTTTGGAACCATTCCAGGCAGACTTCATTTAGGATGCATGGAATGTACTTGGCCTAAGGGTTTGGAGCCAGGTTCTGAAAGAACTCAGTCAGAGATTCAGATGCTTCATTTGGGGAAAATGGATGAACTCAATTTTCTTTCAAGCACTTCAAAGAAGCCACGTTTTAAAATTTCTACACATTGAATGTTTTGATGTTGGAATACATCTGGAAGGAGCTGAATATTAGTTAAAAATGGAAACATAGTCTGGCAGAATATTTTCCTCATTATAAATATTGAGCCTGGAAACCTCTTTGTAAGAGTTGCAATTACAAGAATGTTGGGATGCAGGACTAGAAGGGACTTTCTTGGTCACTCAAGTCTGTTTCCTTCTTGTCCTTAACTACCATATCATATGTCCCCTTTCACCAGTCAAACTTCAGTTTAAGATTAATTTGGTTTCTTGCCCCTAAAACTCACTGAACCTTACAATTTTGATATTTGGAAACCTTCTGATTTTCTCTTCAAATATAGTCTTTCCTTAGTTTATACCTATTTCTAATGCCGTTTTTGTCTGTTCCTCATTACTCTCTTCAGCCTGTCTGAATGCATTTTGAAATTCAGAACAAAATTTCAGAGCCTGAACTTTTTCCCTCCCTCGTGTAAAAAATTAGTATGCCAAATGCAGAAGGCCTAGAAACACAGCCTAAAATTGCATATGCTACAGGTGATGCAGCTGTAACAGAGCTAACCTTTGCAAAGAAAACTTCATGTCAAAAAGTACCACTGAGCTTTCTTTGAACGGTCCACAGACGTCAATGATTTATAAAAATCATTTAACCAATTAATTAAAAAAAAAAAGTCACAAAAAATCAAATTACTGGCAAGCAGTTTGCGACCAGAAAGTTGACCAGATTAGTTTTGTTACATGAAGCATTCATTATTAATTTTTCCATCGATTGTACAGATATAAAGTGTGCTTTGGTACCTCCCTAATAAGGAAGCTTCAAATAACTGCAACTTAAGTAGAAATTATCTTTGGGATGAGCTAACACTAGAAATCCATCAGTCAGGAACCTTTTCTTTTAAAACTATCTAAATTTTAAAAGCTATATCATGCTATTTTCCTGCTTGATGCTTAGCAGTGTGTTCTTTAGAGAGATGTATTGCATTAACATTTTTCTTAGCAGTAGTAAGAGAATTACCAATTTATATGATCTGAAATGAACTGCAAGTTTGTTTAATCTATTAAAAAAAAAAGGATTTCTTTTAGAAATCTGTACTGGTTTTAGTATGTGCAGGCTTATAGAAGGATCATAATGAAAGAAATGGAACATGGCAGTGATGAAGCACATGCGTGGATAGAGCTTGACCCAGTTCTGCCACTGAATCGAGCTATTGACAGCTGTTATTTTCATTTCACACATGTTGCAAAGTTCCTTGTGTCTACTTAGGTACAGTTGTGGCCCTTTTATAAATTACATAATCGCTCAATATAAATTGTGTAAGAGAATTGTAAATATCCTTCTGTGATGCACAATTCTTTTAAACTGTATGGACTTATTTTTTCTTTTTAGATGACATTTATATGTTTAAAACAGTATGTAAAAAATATCTACAGCTTTTAAAAAAATAATGTATTTGCTGAAGGTCAGCATGTCAGAAAAAGTTATTTAAAATATGCTGATTCCTTTCATAGTAAAAGATTTTAATTATTGCTAATGATTAAAAAGGAATAGGCATTTGCCATTTCTTTTCTAGTATTTACTATTGCCCTTATCCTTGCTGTCATTGTTTACTTTAATAGGCCAGCACAAGTTTTCAGAAGAAAGATTAAACTGAGCTGCATGCAATTGGTTGCGCAGTGTCTCTACAAAACAATGATGTTGCTGGTCTCTGCCTACTTAGTTCACATATTAAATACTGCTAACTTCATGTTGATGGAAAGACATTGGTTCATTGCATCATTTCTAGCTTTACATAAGATGAAGAATGTTAATATTACAAGATTACCTTTGTGCTAATTTTACTTTAAACTGCATTTCATGTTGATGTTAAAGATGGTAATGTAGTAAGCTGGCTTGGAAACAAAGCAAGGAATTTCTGTATATTAAAATCTTGTATTAATATGGTAAATTTGCATATTTAACACAATCCATTAATTTTATATGGATTATCATTTATCACATAAACCTGTGTTAAGTTTAAGAATTGCAGAAGTTATATTATTGTCTGATGAAATGACACAGAATCTAGTTCTGTGTAGCTCAGCAAATTTGTTCTATTGTCCATTATACAAATGAGGAATAATCAGACTATAGATTTGCATAGATGTTAAACTTAAAGGAAGCAATCAGTAAAAAAATTTCTGTAGAATATAATTGGTTTAAATGAGATTATCAAACTTGTAAAGTACAAACAGCCTAGCCTAGGGAATTCGCATATCTGTATTTC